GGATGAGAACATCTGCAGATCAACAAAGGAAAGACAAAAGTAGAAAACATTTGTAATGAAATAAAAACTCAGTTTGCAGAAGAAACTACCAGAACTAATGAATATATGAAAAATATTCATAATCGTTACTAAGCAGAGAAAGGAAAATTAGAGTAACAATAAGATATGGCTTTGCCTATTGGACTCACAATAATCAAAAAGCTAGAAAATGCCAAGTGTTAGTGGGAATGTGAGTCTCACTCTTGTTAAGATTGTAGGGATTGGCAGTCATTCTAGAAAGCTCCATATGGGGATATGTGCAAGGTTATTCATTGCAACAGTGTTCTTAGCCAGGGAAAGGAGTTGGAAACAAATTGACTGTCCATCATCTGCAGTGTGGATAGATAAAATGTGGCAGATGACACCACAGAGTGTTATAAAGTTAGAAGTTATGACTTAGATGTATACACAGGATAATGGATAGATTGCAGATACGTAGTGCTTAGTGAAAAATAGAGAGAAAAAAGCCTGAGAGATAACACAATAACATTTAATTCTTAAGCAGAAACTTGCATCCCATAATTTAAATACTTTAAATGTCTTCCTGGTAGGAAGCTTTGTTCCGTGACTTTTGTAAATGTCATGTAGTTATGTCCGCTGGCCATAAACCTCCTTCAGAGTCAATCTGCAAGTTAGTTGCCTACTTGTCTGATTTTCAAATTGTAGTTTCATAACTAGGATAAACTGGGGCATACATTATTTGCCTTCAAATTGTGTACTGTAATTTCTTCTTTCATATATTTCTACTTCCTTGCTCTGTAGAAAAAGTATAAAAAAGTATAAAAAGTGTGATGAACAGAAAATACAATATGTCAGTCACATGTCCCAGAAAGCCTTACACAACTAAGAATACACCACCTTCCCAAAATACACATACTTTTTCTTACTATTGCCTTACAAAATATTTTTTAAAATGTAAAAAACAAAGGAAGCTCTGCCTAGGTTCTTAATCTCATGGGATATGAGAAGAAATAGTACTGACTTACTGAAAAAAAAAAAATAGATGAGAAAGAAAAAAGGCTATCTTTTTCCCATATCAGCCTAATACAAATGACTCAAGTCAGGGTAGAGATGGGGGTGGAAAAATAAGACATCTTCCCATATTTTCAAGTTTTCTATTTTGCATAATGAATTTGAGATACAATGTTAACATCCATTAAAGCCAGAATATGTTTTCCTATAATCCATCTACATTTGTCGTCTAAACAGTATCCTTAACATTTCAAATGTTCTCTCCTTCCCACTAACTCTCTCCTTGTGAGTGAAAGAATGTTATATTAGATATATATTTAAATTTGAATTATGTATAATGTATTATAATAAATAGCATAAATATATTACAAAGTATATACAATCAATAATAATTAACAATAAATATGCTTTAATTATATGAAAGTTATATAGAAGTTTAAATTACACATATATAATGGCCCCCAAGTTAGCCAGTTTCTGCATTAGAGCTTCAAACATAAAGCCTGTTAAATCTCTCTTCCTGTTTCATGGCATGTTGTTATTTTCAGTTCCTTACCATACCTGTTCAAAGGTTTTTGGACTCATGATTCCAAAAATTGGCATCACTCTCAGGTTTGTTTTAACCAATAATATAAGTGATGTGAAGATTGTGTATTACTCCACATAATTAGAGAAAAGAAAGTAGCCAGGAATAAAGGTCTTTACGATTCTAGAGCTCTCTTTTAATTTCTCATTAATCTAAATCTGGGTGAGTAAACAAGGTCAAGATGAATCCATCCAACTTCACTACCAGGTCAGTTTCTGTTTCTTCGTCAATACTTACTGACAGTTCTGTCGCTAAACAAAATCACTCAGTTAGGGCTAGGTATTGTTCTACAAACTGAAAACAGAAAAAAAAAAAAAAAAAGAACAAAGTCTCTGTTCTCATGGATCTTTTATTTTAATAGAGTAGTCAACAGAATAATAATTTCATAAATCTTAAAAGGTTACAAAGAAAATAGAACCAGAGTGATATGATAGCAAATTTGTGCCAGGCTTGGATGTGTCTCAACAGCTAAGAGGACACACATGGGGCCAGGTTTTGAGGAAAGGCTCTGTAAGAATATAATATTTAAGCAGAAATAAGTGAGGAAGAAGAAACTTGTCACAAGACCAGGGGACTGAAGTCTTGATCTCATAAATTCCAATGTGCTTTCTATTATAGAGCATTGTCTCCAAAAAGATATGTGGGCTATTTCTGTTTTTAAAAGATCCCACAAATTAAGTATTTAACTTAATGTATTTTGAACTGATTGATTTTGTTGTTTTGTGTTCTCCCTTGAACAAGATAGAAAGTTGCTGAAACAATGGCATTGGAGTACCATATTCATTATTACAGTTATTAAACTTTTAATCAATACTAAAGGATACAAACTTTCTAAGGAAAATAAAGGAAACACTTTAATTTGTTCATTTGAAAGACATATCAAATATCAAATACATATATGTTGGGCATTATGTAGATGAGAAAACATTTCCTTATCCTTCCTGTATGTATGTATGTATATAGGTGTGTGTGTATTTATACTGAATTTCTCAGTTTTGGGGGGGGGGATGGGGAGGTGATCAATACGATGACAAAGCAGTCAGAAATGTCCTGATATGTTGGCCTGTTCGGGGAAATATGTTTTTAGATACTTGAAGGGCAATACTAGAAATCAAATTCATTTTTTCACTATGATCATGCTAACCCTAGGTGAACTGCACAGAAAAGCACAATGCATCTTACCCTGTGAATTTTTTCCTTGAAGGACAATGAAAAAAGATTACTTATTCTTTTAGAAATCATCAGTCTCCTACTTCACTTTTCCCCCATTTCTTATTAATGGGCAATCCAGGCACCTGCCAATGTGTGAGTGGTGGCTTTTTAAAGGGGAAATTTCTAAATATTTAGGAAATGGTGTTTGGATGAGTTGACAAGGGTAGCAAAATTCAAAGTGCAAAAATATGCTGGAAAAGCATGTTAGGAATCTAAATGTAGAACATTTAAATGAAGACAGCAGTGTATAATAATTAGGCTCAAAGCAAAATATGTGAAAGCAGAGAACAATCATATGTTAACCTAATCTGATGCTCAGAGAATTGTCTCAGTTTACTTGAAAATTTGCAACTGTTCATAAGTGTTTTAGATTGCTTTCATGCTTAGTTCATCAGTTTGAAAAAAATTATGCACATATTGTAGAATTCTTGTGCATATGTTACCAGCTCTTCTTTTGCTGTTTATATCACCACTAATTAACATTTTTAATTAAGACAAAAAACACTGTTAGCATAATACATAAAAAATTGGAGCAGGTGCTTAGGGTAATAATTTGTATAAATAGCTATTGCCCTACACTAGCTTCTAAATTATGATCATTAACTAGCTTTTTAGTGGATCAAAGTGAAATTCTGCCTTTTATTTAATTTAAGGAGAAAGCAGGAAAAAAAGAACACACTACAAAAATAAATGCAGACACTACAAAATTCTATTATCCTCATTGTAATCCTAGTTTATGCTGCATTTAAAACTTGGCCTCTTAAAGCCTGTCTGGATTTCTTCCCCTCCATCCCCTCTGATCTTCCTATTCTCCCCAACTATTCTTGAAGGCATAGTTCTGAAAAGAAATTTTCTTCCTGCTTTTCTCTGCTCTCCAAATTTCTTTTCCCATCAGAAGCAGGATGGATTTTTACAGCACTCGGCACTATATTCCATTAAAATAGGAACTCAGTGAATTAAAATTAGTTAATATATATACCCATTTTTTCCTAGTAAAAAAGCAAACTACTAGAAGATGTACATCACTAGCATATTGTTAAATTAAGTTAATTTAACTCATCGATGCAAATTAAATTAAATTAGTTATTTAAAGAGAGCTACTTAACAGTAAAGGCACCATCTGCAATATGCTGATTTATGAGGCTTCAAACTTACCTAAAGCTCAGTAGCCTCACTTCTCATTCCTCTTGCAAAGCTTTTTTTCCTACCTATGTTCAGAATCAGTGACATCATTGGCTCCGCAGATACCCATAAAGAAACTATAGATCTATGTATAATCTTTTTCCTCTTTCACTTCTGATAAGTCAATGGTCAGAAACCATTATGACAACTATAATTTAACAAACATGTATTATGCACTCTTCTCCAGGACTGAAAATGAAAAAAAAAAAAAAACCCCACAAAACTATGATATATTACATTTTAGCCATGCTGTCTTGAAATGTCTTTGTTATCACCCCATTAGTTCAATCCTTTGTCCTGTTCTTATCTTCATCATTTACCTAGGTTCAAAGAGCCTTGTTTTGATTTTCTAGTCTTTGGCCTTCACAAGGTGGCCCAATTATTTTTTTCCTATGAAAATTACTATTTTTCGGGACGCCTGAGTGGCTCAGTTGGTAAAGTGCTGCCGTCAGTCCAGGCCATGATCCCAGGGTCCTGGGATCAAGTCCCGCAACAGGCTCCTTGCTCTGCAGGGAACCTGCTTCTCTCTCTGTCTCTGTCTGTTACTGCCTGCTTGTGCATGTTCTTTCTCTCTCTCTCTCTGACAGATAAATAAACAAATAAAATCTTTTTAAAAATTGTTATTTTTCTTCTTTTGTACAAGTAAGTAACATCTATAGTTGCTTTTTCTGTGTAGCAACTGCATTATAGAATATGTATGACATAGTACATTTCTATTTAATTTTTTTAATTTTTTTTTAATTTTCAGCATAACAGTATTCATTGTTTTTGCACCATACCCAGTGCTCCATGCAATCCATGCCCTCTCTAATACCCACCACCTGGTTCCCCCAACCTCCCATCCCCCGCCCCTTCAAAACCCTCAGATTGTTTTTTAAGTATTCTAACTAACTTTGATCTGACCCTAGTTTATTTCCCCAAACTTGTTTCCCATTATATCATTCTCCAGTATACACAGAATTTTGCATTGTTTCCATGTCAAAGTATTATGTATTATTGCCCTTGGAATAGTTCCTGAACATTTATTAGTGGGTCATCGGCAGCAACAGAGGTGGGAAAGAGCAGCACTAGCCTCATTTGCTCTTCAGGTAGCTCTTGGGGGTCTGCCAGCCTGCAGGGGCCTCCTTCAGGCCTGACTTCAGCCAGATGCATCTCAGGTCTCGCTCGAACTTGATCTGCTTCCGTTTCAGGCGTCCTTCCCGCACCTTCCGCCGCAGGAACCGGGTCATCTTGACCAGATTCCGGTACTTGTGATGATTCATCTTCTGCCTGCGAATCTTCAGCACGTTCTTGCACTGCATCCCAGGGGCATCTGAGACCTCCTCCATCCCCTGCTCGGCCCCTAACCCCACTGGGCTGGGTGGACACTCATAGAGCAGGGATGGAGCCACCGGCCCTGGGGCCCTGGCCGCTAGTCTGGGTAGGAGGTAGTGCGCGGTCAGCCAGCTCTCCAGAGGACTGACAGACATCTTCCTGGGGACCAGCATCTCCTCAAGCTCCAGCTGGAGCCCCTTGCCGGGGACGGAGGCAACTCCACTTGGGGCTGTGGGCTGGGTGCCCTTGGAAGTTTGATCAGATACAATGAATTAAAAAAATAATCTTGTTCATATTAGGTTCTCCAAAGATCTAGAGTCAATAGGATGTATAGAGATGTGTGAGAGGAGACTCATTACAGGAATTGACCCATATGGTTATGGAGGCCAAGAAGTCCTACAATCTGCTGTCTGCAAGATGCAAGTCCTGGAAAGTTCTTGGTGTGATTCAACCCAAATCTGAAAGTCTGAGAACAATGGGAGCTTATGGTTTCATTCCCAGTCCATGTGGAAGACCTGACAAGGGGGTGAAGGAAGGCAGAGGGACAGTTGTTCTAAGTCTCAGAGTTTGAAAGCAGGAGCTCCTATGTTTGTTGGTAGGAGAAGGTGGACATCCCAACCCAAGAAGATAGAGAATTTCCTATTTTTCTGCCTTTCTTTTCTGTTTGTATCTTCATGCACTAAACGCTAATCCTTTTCAGAAGCACCCTCGTAGACATACCTCAAAATACTGTCTTACTAGCTACCTGGGCATTCTTCAGTCTATTCAAGTTGACAAATAAAATTAACCATCACGGTCATTAAAACGTAGGTAGCATTTACTTTACATCATATATTATCCTCAGTGTTTTAGAAATATTAACTCATTCAATACCTTGTGAGGTAGATATTAACGTTTTATCCATATTATACATGAGAAAACTGAGGTATACAAATTTTGCTCAAACTTACTCGGAATTAAATGGTAGAGTCAGGTTTCGAGTTCAGAAGTTTGGCCCCAAATCCATACACAGAACCACCAAGATGGACTGGTCTTTCTTCTGAGTTCCTGTGTAGGAATTGCGTGGTACCACTGTAGTATGCATATTATTTTAAAGTCATATTAAAAATTCAGCTACAATATATCATTACTCAATACACTTGACTTACACAAGTATGAGGCAGTGCTATATATAAACTTGTGGACAGAGGATATATTTTGTGTTTATCAAAATGAGGTATTTATATAGCACAGTATCTTTTATGATGTCAAATAAGTGATGCAGTTCTTCACAATAAATCCAAGGATAGGGTTAGATATAAAACTACTATAAACTTATATGAAAGTATTTGCCTAACCATAAAAAGAGGAAGTAGTAAAATGTCAATCAAACAGTAACATGGGTAATTCAACTTATGTACACTCCAAATTGTGATATATACATTAATGATTCATAATGTTCAGCTGTAATAATTTAAGACATTTTCAAGTTAACATTATATAAAACATTTTTGAGGATTTTTTCTATATTCATTCCATAGGCCTTTTTAAGTTTACAATCTTCACATCTGTTTGAAATAACTGATAAATACACTTATAGAAGTTAAAAAGATATTTTAAACACTTCAAACACTTTTTGGGCTATAATAATAGTACTTCTTAATGTAAAATCATTACTTTATATGATTTTAGCCTATTAATTCTAAGACCGAAAAGGAACCAACTCTGTAAGTCTTAAACTTTTATTTTTCATAGTATTTACTACTCTTTCAAGTTATAGTGTTTATTTACTTGTGCATTTCCCTATTGTCTGTCCTATAAATAAAATGTAAGATTCACAAGGCAAGCATTTCATCTGACTTACTCATTGAATAAACAGAATCTGAAATAGTTTTTGACCCATAGCAGGCATTCAAGGAATATTTGTACAATTCCTTGTGCTTCAGTTTCTAAGTCCAGGGCAAGTGAACTTGACTCATGATCTCTTATGGATTGAATGTTTGTGTTCCCCCCAAATTCATATATTGAAATTCGAATCCCAGGGTGATCGTATTAGAAGGTGGGGCTTTGGGGAGATGATTAGGTCATGAGGGTAGAGCCCTGAAAATGGAATTAATGCCTTTATAAAAACCAGAGAGGGAGACAAATCATAAGAGTCTCTTAATCTCAGGAAACAAACTGAGGTTGCTGGGATGGAGGGGGATGGGAGAGATGCGGTGGCTGGGTGATGGACTTTGGGGAGGGTATGTGCTATGGTGAGTGCTATGAATTGTGTAAGATTGATGAATCACAGACCTGTACCCCTAAAGCACATAATACATTTATATGTTAATTAAAAAAAAAAGGAGACTCCAATGAGCTTATTTACCCCTTCGACCATGCGAACAAGGATACAGGGAAAAAATGACTATCTCTGAACTAGCAAGCAGGCCTTCATCTGACATCAGATCTGCTGGTGACTTTATCAATCTTCAGAACTGAGAGAAATTGATGTTTGTTGTTTAAATTACCCAGTGTATGTTATTTTTGTTATAGCAGCCCTAATGGGCTAAGACAGGTCTATGGACTAAGACAGGTTCGTGGAGATGATCAAGACATGTAAGAAGTTCTATATATAAAATTTCATACTCCGTTTTCTTTTTATATGAATATGTGATTTTTTTCAAAGTAGTACATGATAAAAGAGATTTAGAAATTCTACTGTGATATTTATTTCACTACCAAGTCTACTTATACTTTTTTGTTACCAAACAACTTGAAAAAGGAAAAAAGAAACAGAAAAAATAGTTTTGAATTTAATCAAATGTGAAATGAACAAAGATGGTGGTTAAAAAAAGAAACGAACTCCTTAAGAACATATCTATGAATAAGCTACTGTAGCTTCTGCTATGCAATGATTAAGCTTTGGTTGGTTATACTATATATTTCTTATAATTTCATATGTTTTTAATGATAAACTTTATAACCAGTGTTTAACTTGTGCACACTATATGTTACAATTTGCTTCGTATACATTTCTCTAAAATGATATACCCGAATTATGACCATTGATTGTCCCATCCAACATACATAAATGGCATTATACCAATAGAAATTAAAATAAAAATAATTAGCCACAATAACATTCTAATAAACCAACTATTAATTTTTTTCCAGTATTCTATTACATATTTCACTATTCCTATATGGATTTGTGTCTGTACACGAGTTTATGGTTTTCTGTGGAAGCTATCATAGTAAACCTATTTTTGTATTGTTGCACTGTCTTCATAGATACCATTTAAGTAAACACAGCAAATGTATTTAATTGACATAATGTACCTTTCTTTAATTGATGTAACATGTACTGGTCGGCAATAAACTGCTTCCAAATGTTTACTATTGAGGATAAAGTTGTAATGGAGATCTTCAGGTATTATTCTTTTCCTCTAATCTGAATGATTTCCTTGGTATAGTTTACTAATAGTCAAAATATACAAAATTTTTAAGACCTTACAAGTATGTGAAATCACTTTCCAAAAAGGTTATACTTTTTGGTTGTTGTTTTATATTGCCTTCATTGTTAGTATTAACATCAGGCATTGATTGCACTACTTCATGGGCAAAAACAGTAATGAGAAAATACCCATCTCTGGAGAAGGACATATTTATAAATCAAGGATAGTTCTTGGAAACCTAGCCAACTAGCAGACACTAAGATCCCAAGGAGAGGGGGCAATGTCCATTACAATCTCAATATATAGGATAAAAGATTGATTTTATAAACATATTGAGATGGTAAACATCAATAAACACAGAAATTAATAAAATTCCAAGACGAAGAAGCAAAGCAGGGAGAGAATCACTATTCTGACATGAATGCATACAGGAATGCATTACAAAAGAAGGTGACAGAGGAACAGCAGAGCCACATTCAACAGTCTGCCATTTCCTTGGGTATATTTATGATTTTTTTACTTTTGGTTGATGTGCTGTAATTGTACTTAAACCATTTTATTTTAAAAGTTGAAGTTTTATTTTTATTTTTATTTTATTAAAAAGTTGAAGATATTTAATATGCTCTCGGGCAGGGGTCTCAGGCTCCTGAGAGGATGTAGAAATCTTGTACAACAAATCTTGCAGAATCCGAATAGCTGAGCTGGAGGTGGAAGAAGGAAAGGGTAACATCAGGGTCCTCTACAAAATGTGTAATGGTTTTTTTAAGGTCCATTTTAATAAATGAATTGTCTTTCTTGCAATTATCTTATAATTAGTCTTAATGTCTTACACGAAATGTAAGACATCATTTTCCTGTTCATGTGAATGGCAAACTATTAATGCAACTTAGATTCTCCCTAAGATATTTTCCTCCACCAGATAAAATATTCGTTGCCAGCAAAATCTGCATGTGTACATGAGAAAAAGGAGAAAGAGAGAGGGAGGGATGGTGGGAGGGAGATAGAGAGAGAGAGGAAAGAAATCAATCTTTATAAAAAATGGGCAAAGTCTATAAGATTTCTTGAGGCAGGTATTCACTATTCCCCCAAACTCTATTTACAACTGCTATAAAATAATAATCCCCTTTTCTTGTTCACTTTTATGGGCCTGTCTACAAACCTTAGAAATATTGTGTTTGGATGAAAAGGTAGAAATCTTAAAAAGAGTAAAAATCAAGATTCGAGCTTTTTAACTTTAGCAGAGGAACCTACCCACATAGGCTGAGCTTTGCATTTAACCTCCCAAACAAGATTCCTTATCAAATATTTGTGACTTTTGAACAAAACTAGATGAAATCTGGTCAGCCACACACATACAAATAAAATAAGAATTTCAAAAAGTGCTCCCCAATGTATTTTTTTATTGTACTTCTAGCTTAAATGTCAATTAAATTAGACGAAATTTTTCAGGTCATTTTGAGACTTGGTTCCAGTTTGTGACTTATGGTAACTGAGCTTTTCTAATGTATAGTCTTCCTGTTAAAAAAGAATCTTTGAGGAGAGCATTGGTTGAGAATTAAAAGCAGGTAATGAATAGAAAGTAACAGATAATACATTGTTTTGTTTACTTTGTTTAAATCCCCTCACATTCAGTTAACCCACATGAAAGCATGAGCTTTTAAAATTAATGGAAACTTCTCTTTCATAGCTTATTGTTTGAACAAGAATAAAGAAGGGATTTACTTGAATTTGTCACAGTATAGAGACCTTTTGCAAACTATCATTTCACTCTCTTTGGTATCTACTCATGACATTAAAACAATTTGTTGACTTAAATAGGTGCTATGAGAATCACTCTGCTACCTGGAAACAAGAAATGCATATGTATATACTTACTCTAGCAGGGGCAGGTTCCAAAAGATTGCATCTGTGAATTGCAGCCAAATTCATGAGCATGATGCCTTAGTTTGGCACCAGATGTAGATATTTTAAAGATTTTGCTAGCTATAAAAACTATGAATTAGCTTACGTGGAAAAAAAAGTATTCAATAGTATTTCACAAACACGTGTGTAAGAGCTGATCAAACAGTTCCCCAATTAATATCTGTCAAGTAATCTGGAAGAAATCCCATAATGACAAGGCTACCTGGTCAACTTTCTGGGGACAGAAGTCCAATTAAATGTGGTCCAGGTAGTTTCAGAAAATTTGAAGACATAACAATAAATTTATAATTGTTAGGAACCATAGGATCTTTGGGCCTGTGTATCTACACAGTGAAAATGAAGAGCAAGAAAATGCATATAGTGCTTAACATTCTGGGGTTTGAAGTTAGACATAACCAGAGGGGGTCCTGGCTCTGCTCTTGTGAGACATTTGATTTTCATCCTGCTGAGCATCTTCAGTTTTATCTTCTCTAGAATGAAGAAAGGATCTTTTTTATAATATTGCAAAGAGTCATAAAATACAGTGTAAATAGAGAATGTGGTATGGAGTGATTGGTAGTTGCTAAATAAATTATGGGGATAAAGTGATTTAGAATATACAGATTATTTCTTGGCTTACCATGTTTAGAGGATTAGATTATACATAATAATATAATATGATATAATATATGAGTATATTTATATTATATGTGATTTTGTACAATAACTTGATTTGAGAGATCTGTGCTTGATTTCCCTACTCTTTTTTTTTTTAATTTCCCTACTCTTTATTTGTGAACACATTTAATAAATCATTTGTGTATTGGCTTATTCTTCATATTCTACATAACATCCTCTCTTCTCTGCCTTATACTAAGTTATTGACTAGTATCATTGACAAGGATCCTAGAATACTGTATGCTTTTTTTATTGTTAATTTTTACAATTAATTGCAAAAAAGGTTTGGTTTTATATAATTACCCCAAAAAGCTCTGGGAAGGCATAAACTGTATGTGTGTGTATGTGCATATGTGTGTGGGTATATGTGTGTTATTCCTGCAGATTAGCAGAGTGTCTGATCCAGTGAAGGAACTTAATAAAGGACATTTTCTGAACTGAGATGTGTTATGCTATTCAACCATATTTGTAATGATAGAACCCAAAGTTTTCAATCCTACTACAAATGAAACTGAATCAGAAAATTACTTTTGTTTTATGGATAAAATATTTTATATTAACAGATTGAGTGCTGCTGAAATATAAATGTTTACATCTTCTCAAACTGTTGAAAGAGACAAGAATGAATAATAATAGTATGGTACTACCAGAAGGAAAGAAAAAAAAATGAGCTATAAAACAAATACTCAAAAAAGTTTCTTTGATTTTCAATGACTTTTCCCTTTACACCAAAGCATTAGAATAAGTAAGTTACAGTTTAGGAGGAAGATTAATATGGTATTTAAAAGAGACCTAGGACATGTATACCTTAATTTATATAACATTGTATGTGAAGTATATCTATGTGGAGCTGGGAAGAAAAAGAAACCCATAACAAATTGCATATGCCCCAAGAAAATATTTTAGTTTGTTATATAAATAAATATTGAACAGAGAAAGTTTTATATATTGTGAAATACTCTTGTGACTTCTTTCCTTGGTATTTGAAAAATAATATTCCTCTGTAAATTCTTGGTTTTACAAAGAAGTAAAAGAAGACCCCATCCCATACACACCGACCCAACAAGATGGAAACTTTTCAGAAAATTTGAGAAAATGCCATGCTTATTTGTTTATATATTTAAAAGCTGTCATCAGATGGATATCAACTAGACAGTTGGTTTTGCTGCATATCATAAATCTGTCATGGCCAACTTTATCATTTGCTGTCTGACACTTTCCAGTACTAATCATCTCTGTGAAGAATAAGAAGTTGGAGTGGAAAACCCTTTGTAAACCCTCTCTGTAGTACATTTGTCAGTTTCATGTTTTTAAGTCCTTGCCGCTACTGTGGGGACATTTCTAATTCATTCTCATTTGAGAGTCCTCATTTTATCTACTTTACAGAGTGCAGTGTTATCTGATGTTGTTTCATGCTGAGATGAAACACTGACTGTATCAGTAGGGATAACTGCTGAGAAGAAAGAACAAAAGAATAGTATATATCTAACAGTCCAGAATTTTCACTGGGGTTGTGCTGAGCTAGAGGATTTACTTATCTCCCAAAAGGATTGCTTCATAATATTTCGGTTCTTATAAACTTTTAGACGTGCAAAGGAAGTAAGAACTCAAATGCAAGTTACACATATGGGTGAAGTCTTCAAAGTGATCTCTTTTTGTCACTTTCTTTTTATTTCCCGTAAGAAAACAGTTTTGCATATGCAACAAGATTGTCCTTGGGAACTTTGATCTAAAGGATAGAATTTAAGAGTTTAATCTCCGAAAATAGGCAAAACTTTACCTTTGTTTATTTGATCACTTTGCAAGTGTGCCCACTAAAGTACAGTTGGGAGTAAATATTTCAAAAAACCATGACACAATTAAAATGACTGAGGAAATTATGTGATCTGCCATTTTAAAAAAGTTAACTACAATTTAGCCTTTTTTTCCTAGGTTAGAGTCATGATCTCATGCCTAGAATATATTCTAGTGCAGTTTTTAAATATAAAAACCTTGAAGAATCTAAACAATTTGCTCATATATTGAAAATTTTTTTAAAAATCATATGATAAAACCCTTAGCAAATTTTAGCTTTAACCCTAATTTGTGTGACAGGCAACTTTTTCAAACATGACATATCACTCCAGTTTGCAGGCACATTAGATAATATTTATAAAACTTTTTACATCAATCTTGGAACATAATGTAATATAGCTGTTAGTGAAAAAAAGAAGTCAGGGTAGCAGTAGTGAAGTAGTAGTAATAATAATATTTTTAATAATTTCCCTTTTGAAAAGCTAATTTAAAAAATACTACTAATATTTGACATCAGTGATTATCAGAGTCACTAATGGATAGATTAGATTCGTAGTTACCATTCCATAATTCATGTTTGTATGCAAATTATGTTATAATTATAGTCCATTGTCTATTAAGACAAAGCTATTTATGTGTTAGGTTAATATTTAATTGATATGTTTAAGATTATAGCAAAATGCAAAATAAGTGCAATGTAATGATATGCTTCATCTTAATTACATTCATATTCGTAAAGATTTTCTCCTCTTTTTCCTCTCCTAAACAAGAAAGAAAATATTTCATAAAATCCTTCATAATAAGAAGCACCATATGGCTCATTATTTAATCAATTAGAGAAAATTGAGAAGAACAGATTGTTCTTTTGTAATGCAGTAAATCTTCATTTTACCTTCCATTATAGTGAAATTCTGACCTCAGAATTTTAGGTTTGATCCCAGGTCTTTGATCCTGGCCACAATTTGTTAACCCTAAACAACGGATTTGCTGTACTTATGTTTGATCATTTAGATCATCAAAAAATACTCTTGACTGTCAAAATAATAACTGAATTTTCAATAGTAGACATATCCATGAAGAATGTAAAAAAATAAGAAGGATTATATAGTTCGAGGTCGCATTTAAAATTAACTTCATCTTGGAAGACTAAAACATCAAGAATAAGAAAAAGTGAAAGATTCTACACTGAAACACTGTAGCACATAGAAAACTGTAAGTTTTCATATAAACATGAATTATAATAAAGCACAATAAATAGAATAGTATAAGGATCTCTTAGCATAAGTGAAGAAAGTGTCAATTGATAATGCATCTAATGAATGGGAAAAGCACAAGTAGAGTTAGTATATGGGACACACTTGTTTTCCTATTCTTAGTTATGCAAATGTAATTACCTACAGTTATCATATAGATCCCTTAAGAGAATTAGGTGGACTGATGGCATTTCAATGTTCAGCCTCAGTGCCCAGGATAATAAGGAATGTTGGAATGTGGCAAACTGGACATCAAGGTCCCCGTCCAAAAGGCACAGACACTACCACTTTTTTACTTTTTTGTGTTGATTTCTTAAATAGACTTTTTAAAGCAGCAGAGATACACAATGAAATTGAGTAGAAGGTACATAAATTTCACATATAACCTCTGCCAGGACTCAGGCACAGTCTCGCCCACTATCAACATCCTACACCAGGGCAATACATTTGTTACGACTGATGAACCTCCACTGACACACAATTACCAAGAATTCACAATTTGCTTTACGGCTCATTCTTTGTGTAAATATACTCGTTCAAAATTGTAATGACATGGATCCATTATTATAGTAACATACAGAATGTTTTCACAGTCCTAAAAATCTTCTGCTCTCCCTCTTCATCCCTTCCGTCTACTTAACCATGGGAACCACTGACCTTTTTATTGCCTCCATAGTTTTGCCTTTTCGAGAATGCCAGTCATACAGTTGGAATCATACACTATGTAGCCTTTCAGGTTAGCTTCTTTCACTTAGTAAAACACATTAACGTTTCCTTCATGTCTTATTCTGTCTTGATAACTCATTTCTTTGTAGCACGAAATAACATTTCATTATATGGATACCACAGTTATATTTATTCATTCACCTTCTTAAGGGCATCTTGGTGCTTTCTCTTTTTGGAAATTATAAATAAAGCTGCTATAAGCATCTGTGTGCAGGTTTGTTTTTGTTGTTGTTGTTGTTTTTAAAAGATTTTGTTTATTTTTATTTGACAGACAGAGATCACAAGTAGGAAGAGAGGCAGGCAGAGAGAGAGGAGGAAACAGGCTACCTGCAGAGAGCCTGATGAGGGGCTCCATCATGACCTGAGCCAAAGGAAGAGGCTTTAACCTACTGAGACACCCAGGCGCCCCATGTGTGCAGGTTTTTGTGTAGAAAAGTTTTCAACTTCTTTGTGTAAATATCAAGGAGCACATTTGCTCGATTGTATGATAAAGTATGTTTACTTTGCTTCAGAAACCACTAAACTGTTTTCCAGAGTGATGTGTATCATTTTTCATTTCCACTGGTAATAAATGAATGAGAA